TTTCTGTTGACATTTGGACAGCATCTCATGTCACTCTGAAACAGCCCAAGACCATGGAAGGACAGTGGCAGGCTTCAGAGCTGCAGGACTCATTTCTTTCCTTCTGTAGCTCTTTTGCAGCCTGACTGACAACCCTGTGCCAAAGCCCTGTCCACCCAAGTGCAGGACGCTCTTCCGATCTTCCTTCTGTAGCTCTTTTGCAGCCTGACTGACAACCCTGTGCCAAAGCCCTGTCCACCCAAGTGCAGGGCTTTGGAAGGGCCTGGCAATGCTGGTCTGTCAAAATTTTTCTTTGGGAAGCACTTTAACTAGTGTTTGGGGCTGTTGAGTCCCTAGTGATGTCTCATCTCTGTGACGAAAGCCTCAAACACTCCTCTCATTTTCTTTTTTTCCTGTCCATAAGAAAATAAAATCACCTGTAAGTAAAATAATACAGCAAATCATCAGAAGACATAATAATCATATGAGAAGTTCCCCAGAAACAAAAAAAAAAATAATGTTAAAAAACAGTACGGCATATGCAGAAGCGGCCTTAGTACAAAGGGTGAATGCAACAGTTTATCCCTTTGGTGTAGAAAGATACAGACACTGAGAAGCCATGGCAGTTTGCTTTGTCCACAAAACCACATGCTGAATGTTTGGCTTCCAAATGCACAGCCTTTGGATTTGCAAAAGCAGAGCCCCCAGAGCCACAAGCTGAGCTGCTCCTGCTGCAGGAGGCAGGTAGTCTGGGAAAGGCTAACGCCTTCCTGATGATTCTGGAGGCATCGGCTGTCATGTGGAGCAGGAGGCAGGCCAGGCCTTGGCCAGCATGCAGGGCAGACTTCCCAGCGGGGCCAGCTGCTGTCCGTACGCCTGGGCTGCAGACCACGATGCACTGAGACCACCAAGAAGGGACCTGGTGAAAGGAGTGTGGGCTTTTATCTTCCTCTTTCTCCTCTTCCTTAGACCTCCTGCCACCGAGTTGAAGTTTTCAAGCTAACTCATCCGCATACAAATCTTCTTGGAGCCATCAGGAAATAAGCCCCAGTTTGAAAAAATAATCTGTTTTTCCAATCTCAACATTTTCAATTCTGCAAACCAAAGGATTTTTTTTTCTTTTTTCTTTTTTTGCAAAGGTCTGGTACATTCGCAGCCCCAACCTAGGACCAGGTACCCCCCCAAAAGGGTGGTGGGTTACATACAGGTATATACATTTTTTTTTTCTTTTGGAAACAAACTGAACAGTGTTTGGTCTGGAATGTGTTTAAGGAAAAGGTAAACTTTGTGGAGTGTGAGGAGACAGAACAGGAAGTAGTACTGTTTCAGTAGAACATGCAAAGGGGTCGTGCACTGCCTGAATCAGAGGACCATCACTGCGTTTGCCAGGAGTAAGTGTGCAAACCTGGGAAGGAGTACATTTCTGTTTATGGAAATGGGAGGAGCTGCCCTTTGCTGGCCCTTGACTTTCTTTCTCACATCTAGCAGTGCATCTATGGTGGTTGTGGGAAGGAAGGGGTGTTGGGGGCTGAAGCAGAGGCACTAGCCCCAGGTCTCATGTCTTTGGCTCTGGAGCAATGGATCCAGTGTGGCTTCCCCAGTATGGAGAATCTATTCCAGCCATGGCCCTCTGGATCCAAGGGGCCATGGGTCCAAAGCTCTAAAATACCAAGTCTATCTTCCCTGGGATATGGCCTTTTCTTTCTGTTTCCACAAGTGGAGGGAAGTCCCCTCTCCCACTCATCATTCACCCAGGCCATGCTGGGCACCAAGGTGGACAGATGGACAGCATATCAGTCCTGGGTAAACCAAGTCGAGGCTCACTGTGTGGACTGCGTTCATCAGAATGCTGATGTTTTCTAAGAGGCAAACCCTTTTTGCCTATTTGGCCACAGCCATCTTCTTTTGCCCTAGGCCTGACAGCCAAGCTCCCTGGACACTACCTTAAGAGCTAGCTGGAGAGTGGCACCCTCTCAAAGTCACGAGCTGCTCCATGCTTTTGAGGTGAGATTTTTAAAGAAGTGGCCAGAATCAAGGTCGAGAACACTACATCACACCTGCTCTGTTATTTTATTTTTTTGACATGCTTTCAGCATAGTTCTTTTCTTTCCAAAGGAGACATGAAGGGCGATACTGTCTTTTCTAGTTCCCATGGAGGCAGGAGCGGCACACACTGGTGATTGCCAATCCCATAAGCAGCCCTGGGGGTTCTGTCTCTCTAGCTGGGCAGCACCCTCTTTCCTCTGGGGTTTTGTGCTGAAGTGCACTTCACCTAGGTATCCCTGCCCCTCCTAGACTCAACTACCTTGACCTCCCCAATCTGGGACTCCAGAGCATACTGTCCCTGCTGGAAAGCAAGGCTCTGCAGAGCAGGGAGCTACCAAGACTCTAGAGGTACCTTGGTGAAGAGTGACAAGCTGATAAGCCTGTGGGACCCGAGTGTGGTGCCCACTCAATTCCAGATGAATGCCAGCTGCTCTTAATGCCTCATTTATGAAATGAAGATCAGGGGGTCAAGAGAGACAGACAGGCAGTGAAGGGAAGACCATTCAAGGACACATTCAAAACTGAATATCCACGTGAGGGGAAAGAAATTCATTTGAACAGAGAAGGTGAAAGTCCAAATGGGAGACTTGGGGGTCAAGAAAGAAGCCAGAAATAGGGCCTGTGTGTCTACCCATGGCTCAGCTGAGCATTCTGGGTGAGATATGAAATGCTCAGTTAATCCTAGTGGAACTAAATCAGTGGGGAGCTCAGAGCTTTGCCATTCCATTTCTCAGGCTGTAAGCAAAGGTCTACTCTGCATCCTCTTCTTGTTTCCTCATAAAACATAAATAATGCCAAGTAGTTGTCCTTTTATACCAAGGGCTCTCTCAAAAGGGCAGACTCTTCCATATGGTATTTACTTCCTCCTCTTTCTAAAACAATGAAAAATATCCTAAGTCCAGTGGCATCAAGACAGTGATGCTTCCTGATGTCATGTTCAGCAGAATCTACTACTGGGCCCAAACCATTCTCCATCTTGCAGTGTTATTGGGACCTGACACTCCAAGAGCCAAGAACTGATCCAGACAGCTCAGAAAGTACCTGCACAGGCTCACCCTTCACCTGTTCTGCATTTTTCAGGTACAAGATACTTTTAAATAACTGTATATAACATGCACCTCATATATCAGCTCCAGAAATGATTTTCATCACCAATAATAGAACCTGGTTTCAAATGTTGCTTTCTAAACACAAATGGCTGTGTGTAGCACATAGAAAAAAAAGCTGATAATTACTCTATGCACATTACAGGTACCAAACTCAGGATGATTATTGATTATTGATGCGCAAGAACCTTCTATTTACTTTTTTCTTATACTGTATGAACCTGAATGTTTCTGTGACACTTATTGGTAAGCAACATCCTAATCAACCTCTTAGAGAGACTCCTTAGTTTTCTCAAGAACTATTATAATACTTATGTCCTTGTCTTTCTGATGGGGAGAGGTTGATGCTTTTCCAGTTTACATGACACTTGCTTTTCAACTGGGCCTGCTCTCATTTTATAGACTTTTCTAGGCTTTTTGCACAGTTTGAAGAGGGTGAGCTTAAATTTTCACCCTGTTCGCTTGTGAGGCAGATGCTAAGCAGGATTCCTGCCAAGCAGTGAGTGCATGTGACACATGTAGAACAGGTAGACCAGCTGCCCCTCTTTCCAGTTGCTCACTTATATCCTGCACTAATGTCCTTAGGAAGACAGGATGGGGCTGCTGAGCCTGATAACAATGTGTGTGTGTGTGTGTGTGTGTGTGTGTGTGTGTGTTGGGAGGGCTGTGCAGCACTAAAAGTAGGCAAAAGTGTAGATGTGACAAAAATGGTTTGCCCAACAGGACCTTCTATGACTGGCCATTCACAGGAGAGGGGTGTGAGGCCATCAGCCGGGATGGCCACTGGACCATCAGGTAGACCTACTGACACCCTCCGTGGGCTCAAGGATGACTGTGCAGAACTGAGCCAGGGGCATTAGATGGGCACAAAGGCAGAGGGAGGCTTTGGAGCCATCTGCCTGGGTCTACAGGGAGCCTCCTGGGAAAGTGTGCCCTGTGTTGCACACCGCTCACTCTCCTGCACACCTATCCTCTACGTGGGTGCACAATGTGGCCTAATATCCCTGGACATTCCTGGTTTTAACACTAAGAATTCCACATCCTGGGAAATCCTTCGGTATCAGGGCAACTGAGGCATTTTTGATTTCTGGTTCCACTGAGGAGAGGGACGCCTTCACACACATGCAGGGCCTAGCTGAAGTCATCTCTGAACGTTTCCATGGGTGGCCAGTGTCCTGCTCACTTGGTAGTCACCTCTTCTTATCACCCCAGATAAATGGTTCCTTCTTCAGGACTGTTATCCTCCCCTCTCTTAGATAACATTCATAAACCAACAGGGTAAAAATATGGAGAAGCAACTTGTGAGTGTTGGAGGCCATTTTAAGATTAGAAATGCATCTTTAAAAAACAAAGAGAGATTAATTTTAAAACTGCATAGCTGAGATCAGAGTTTCGTCGGTTATCCCTCATGAGAAAAGAGGGTGCACATGGGTTCACTTTAAACAACACAGCAGCTTGCCCTTTGGTAAGGGAGGCTCCTAAATCTTGGCATCGTGGACATCTCATTGACTGGTAAAGTCAGCCTGGGAAGCTGAGCTCGGGTCTCCGGGGAGCAGGTGTCTTGGTTTCTGCTGTGGTTGGTGTGGGTTTTGCTGGAGAAGCTGCGAGGAAAAGTTTTCTGCAGGCTCCTCCCCAACCCCCCAGAACTGCCTCTCCAGAGAAAGAGAAGTAAAGTGCACTCTTAGCCTTGGAGACAGATTCTCGATCCTCTTATTAGAATTTTTTAAAAATACCTTGAAATTCTCCCCGGAGGGGGAAAAAAAATCTCTTAAAGGTTAACATAAAATTACTATTGAAGAGCAAACGATAGAGGTCATGTAACTGAGAGATATAGAGCAAGAACACATACTTCTTAAAAGGAAAACAAAATCCTAATGCACAATATTTACTAATATTTAAATAATCCAGTTGAAACCATATTTTTTTTCCATGAAAAAATACACCCTAGACAGTTGCCTACGCTGCAGAGAATGGAAATGGCGGAGTTGGGGGAGAGGAAGAAGAAGAAGGTCCATTCGGTTAGAGCTTTGCAAGATTCATATATACAGCACCAGGTCCTATTAATTCAGCTCCCCTTGAGTCAGTAGAGTTTGTGAGAAATGAACACTTCAGAATTGCAGTATAAAATATGGCCATAAAAAAACTTGTGTCTTCCAGTCCTATGCAGGAAGGTGCACCAGGTAAGGCGGGATCTTGGTGGCCCAGGGCTCCCCTTCCCTGGCCCCGCCCCCTGGTTCCCACCTCCAGAGCCGGTCACTTGCTTCCAGTGTGCACTGTCGTCACAGTGGTGGGCCTGGGTCTCCGCTCGGCTCCAACTCCTGAGACCCCTGACGAAGAGGAAATGAAACTACAGAGCGTGGAAGGTTCCAGACCTGCAGGGGAACAGCAGACGCTTGGGTTCAGAGATTCAAAAGAAAATTTGCAGCCCTTTCCCACGACAAGAGTCAGATGCGTTGGGTCTGTGGGGGACCAAACATTTGCCCACCCACGTGACTCTACAGGGTTTCTTTCAGTGCTGGGGGTTGAACCCAGGTCCTTATGCATGCCAGGTATGCACTCAACCACTGAGCTACATTGCTAGCCCCAGACTCTCCATTTTTACCTCCCCATAGGAAAACCTTTGCAGTATGTTCAAAATGCTTTAAGCATAGACCCAACTCTCCTCTCTTCTTTTTTTTTTTCATTATAATTATAAATGCTTTGCATTTATCTTGGCCACCATGATGAGTAGGCCCATTTACTGAGTGAGCACTTACTATGTACTAGGCTTTGGCTGGGTATGGAACATATACTGCCATTGTAAGAATTGTTCAAATCTTACTACAGATCCATTAATTAGGCATTTTAAGAATGAAGAGAGAATCGGATATCCTCTTTTGGCCCCTGGTTGGTGTGTTGTCTATACTCTGGGCTAAGAAACATTTGGCATTGTGAGCATCTCATTGATTGGTCAATGTTTACCTTTTCTTGTGAGAAAGCAGCAGCCCTTTGACCTAGAAAAATTCCTCCAGGCTGCACTCAAGCCCTCCACAGGCCCTGCTGTGCAGGCTGCATTAGCTGCTCCAGTGGTGCATGTCCCAAGAGAGCTTTGGACACTCTGACACAGGGAGATCCATACAATTAATTAATAAGATGAGCTTTGCCGTCAATGCCTGCACACGATTCTTTAAAGAAAAAACCAACTGTGGGTTCCCTCTGGTCAGAGTGGGGGAAAGATCTCTGTTGACACATGAAGTTGGTCCACAGGTGTGTGCGACTGTGTCAAGGAAGCTCATGGATACATCCTGGGAAGAGTGTGTGTGTGTGTGTGTGGGGGGGTGAAGTTCTGAATGAAATGGGATGATCTTTAGTGGAAGGAGACCCTTTTCTGAGCCAAGTGGGGAAGAGTGTGATGCTCAAGGTGGAGCCAAGCTGAAGGGCTGCTCAGTGGTTAGGGAGATGAGAATCAATGGGGACAATCAAGGCAACTGTCCAAAGCAGAGAGGAGCCACTGATGGCCTAGCATGAGACAGAGAGGACAGTAAAGAGAGGGCAGTGGAAGGGGGACTAAGATCTTGAGGATGTCAATGCTAAGTAAAGATAAGGGATGAAGAAAAACTATTATTAATTTTTTTGTTGCAAAGTCAATGCACTTCCAATAAATGAGCTTCAATTATCATCATCCTCACCAAAAAAAAAAAAAAAAAAAAATTAAAAGACAGTGAGAACAACCATCAGGAGTCCCTACCACTCTCCTCCATCCACAGAATGACTGCACAATGAGAAGCAAATTGGAGGGGAAGGAGCTAGACCACGAAGTATCTGGGTCTCACCGAGACAGGCCCAGCTGCATGGCCTTGGAGCCACAGATGGATTTCTCATCTATAAATGGCAATAATAGTACCTGGCGTGTGTGTGAGTATTAAATGGCTCAATTAAAAAAATAAAGTCCTAGGGTGGTTGGGAGCATTAAGTGGGATAAAGTATGGGAGGTGCCTGGCAGACAGAAAGCACTGGGCAGGACGGCTCCCTCCTCTCCGCCCCAGGCTTGTCTCAAATGCCCGCTAAAGAATTCTGGTTTTGCTACATACGCACAATCTTTTTGGCTGGCCAGACTGAGGCTGCTTGAGACACCTGCATTCGAGCTGTCCAGGCTGCTGCCGAGATGTAGTCTTCTCATATGCCTCACGACGGCTGTGGCATTAAATGCTTGCTGAAATTCAAGACAGGAAAACACCAGAAAAAAATATTCCAGATAGTTAGAGAAAGACCCTGATGGCTTCCTTTTAAGCAACTGCTTACTCCAAACGTTGCAAACTTCTCAAATCATTCTCAGGACACTTCAGAAAGAAAACTTCTATTGTCCCTTCTTCCAAAAATGTGCAAAGTTATTTTAACACCCCCC